TGCAATGCCTAAATTCCTTACAGAAACAATGAAAGAGGAGCTTCATGATCTGGAACAGCAGGTAACAAGAAAACTTTGATTCACACTAGATTAGGGCTTCCTTGAAACTGGGTAATCTGGGTATAGTAATTCATGCTCCCATCATATCGCCCTTGGAAAACTGCAATTTACTCTAATTGGGGCTGCTCTGAAGACTATACACTTCAAAAAGCAGCAGATGGTCAAAAGCTAATTCAGCAGAATTATTCTAAGGTACTGTGCTGATTATCTATAGGTTCTTTTTTAAAGATTTGTGTTACATGCTTCTGTAATAATTTTTCAGCTTTCGGGTATGTTATATATTTAAACACAGAACTAAGGAGGGAAAACAATACTAATTTGCTAACTTTTGCTTCTACCCAAATGCTTTTTTGTATGACTGTATATCAAGTCAATGGTCAACCAAAGAAGAAGAAATAATTGCCAAGTGAATTAGAAGTAAGCAGAGATATTTATGGCAGAGATATTTATAAGTCACTTTTTTTTGTCCTGGGATTCATAACAACAATTTCAGAAACCCGGCTACTGTAATCATTATTTCACACATTTCATTTCCACATAGACCATAAAATAATTAACTCTCTAAAATGTATTAAACATGAACAATTTTTTGAATGGATTGTGTTACTTTTTAATCTGTTAAAAGTGCTGATGAGATTACTATACTGTCACAGTTATCCAATAATGCAGGGGTCTTCAAACTTGGCCCTTTTATGACTTGTGGACTTAACTCCCAGAATTCCTCAGCCAGTCTCCATTGGAAATAACTAGAATATATAGGTAGTCCTCAATTTACGATTATTCATTTAATGATGGCTCCAAGTTATGACAGCCTTAGAGAAAGTGACTTATAATTTGTAATCGCACTTACAATTGTTGCATCATTCTAGAGGTCACACGATTGTAATTTGGGCACCTAATGGCTCACATTTACAATTAGGTTGCAATATCCTGTGGTCACAGTCACAATTTGCAATCTTTTTTGCCAATTTTCTCCAAAAAAAACTGCCCATTGAGGAAGCTGGATTCACTTAATGACTATGTGATTCATTTAACAACTGCAGTGATTCGTTTAACAGCCACAATGATTTGCTTAATAACTGTTGTAAAAATTATTGTAAAATTAGGAACAACTCAACCTACGATCACAATTGTGGTCAGAAACTGAGGATTAAAAGATTACCTGTATTTTTTTTTTTTTTGAATGGTCCCCTCTCCCATGTCCTCCCTGGTATATTAAACAATTTGGGTTTACTGAACTTAAATTACTCCAATAATTTGGGTCTACTGAACTTAAAAGAAAAGGCTTATTCCTGAATACAACACCATCAGTAAGATGTAAGGGCCATTGTCCCAATGGCATGACTGAATCAGATTTAGCCTGTTACAGCAGATGCTTCCTTTCCTGGCTTTCCAGCCTAGTCAGCTGAAAAGCTAAATTTGCCCATTCTATTATTGGAATGGTTCAATACACATTCAAATCTCCAGCTAGCTGAACTGAGCTACATGAACTCTTCCAAATTCAACAAAGCCTGCTATATCATCCTTGTTAAATCCCAAGCACAGCAGTATAATGTTCTGTTTCAAATTCCTGCAGTGTTATTGAGAAGTAATTACATTTTTCCCCACAGACATCTGATACTGGATTGGCACACAAGAAATGCTACATACTTCACCTGCTGGATAGCTTCTGTACAACTCATAAGGCACCATCTGCAAAGAGGTACAAAGCTAGATGTGAAGGGCAAAAAAAAAAAAAAAACCCTCTTCACAAAGAAACATACTCTTGAGGTTTGATACAGCCTTCAAAAAACTGCATTCTGATGGATTCATCAATCCAGTAAATAAAACAAGTTAATATTAATCATGTTCCCTTTTAGCTGCTAGTTATTACTTATTATATACTGTGTGCATGGAACACATCAACATTTTTTTTTTATTGAAAGTTTTATAAATTTTACAAAAAGACAAAAACAATACAAAACAAAAGACAACATATACAAAAAAAAACTAAACATTACATATATATATAAAAAAAAAAAACCCCATCCCCCACCCCTCACAAAAACCCTCCCTTCCCCCCCCTGAGCTTCCCAGAGCAGAATATAGGCTTAATTAAAAATTAAGAAATAAAAATAAAAAATTAAATTAAAAAATTTATATTTATATATATATATAAAAAAATATCTATATATATATATAAAAATAAAACTTATAAAAAAGCTATGTGATATTTTTGTATACCCAATCTAAATTGTATAAATTTTATCCATTTGTCCCAAACAGCAAGGAACTTCTCTTGCGTTTGTTGCTTTAAGAAAGCCGAAATCTTTGCCATTTCCGCCAGATAAGCTACTTTAAGAAACCATTCCTGCAATGTAGGCAAAGATTCCTTCTTCCAATATTGTCCTACTAACAGCCTAGCGGCTGTAATCAAATTTAACATCAATACAACCTCCTTTGTATCACAATCTGTAACAATGCCTAACAAAAATAATTGCGGAGTAAATTTTACCCTCCTTCTAAAAATTCTCTGGATATTCCACCATATTTTGATCCAAAATGCTTTTATCTCTCTGCATGACCACCAAATATGATAATAGGAAGCATCCTTATAACCACATCTCCAACATTTAGGTTGCACGTCAGGGTACATAAGAGACATTTTTTGTGGATCAAGGTGCCATCTATAAAACATTTTATAAAAATTCTCCCTAAGGTTCTGTGCTTGTGTAAATTTGACAGAACACATCAACATTTTAAAACAAAGTTGGAAAACTGAGACGATTCTAAGGGTTGATATAACCCATATCGGATACAATTTCCCAAAGCAATAGCTCTGATCATCCCTAATTTATATGATTACTCACAATGGAACAATTGAATATATCCAAATTGTTTTAAGCAAAACAATCCATGATAATAAGAAATATTATAGAACATCTACTCAAGATATGAACATTAATCTGCAGCAAATACCACTAACTATTTATCGCAAGCTTAAAAAGGAATAAAAAGACCTCCAAGGAAGAATGTGGTCCAAAACCCACATTCTGAAACTCTTTCACTCAGTAAACCATAAATGTAACTAAAGTATCACTAGAGGAAAAATAGAAGAGTGATCATCTCTTGGATGTCTTGGGCTTGACTTGTGGCACACACATCTATACATACCTCCCTTACTGGATTCTTTGGAATAAGCCCCATTGAGTAGAATGAAACTTATTTTTGTACATTTAGTATGATTGTTACATATGGTGTTTTTGTTACATTTTTTCCTCAGTGGGAAAAGTTACTTTCTTCACAAAGAATATTAGGATTTATGAATGTAAAATAAACAAGAATATATTTTACTCTGCAATTCTTTCTAGATCACAGTATAGTGTTGCCCTGCATTGCTCATTGTAAAGTTCATGAGATAATATATGTTCTCCAAGACAGTATGAAAAGCATTCAATCCAAAAATCCAATGAGCAAAAAAAAAAAAAAAAAACCAGGAATAAGGTGAGTGACATCAATAATTTTTTTTTTTGCTTTTTCCTTTGTCCAACAATTCCTCAGCGGGAGACATGCTTCCACTAAAATGTCAGTAAAATCAAGGAAAGAGGGTTTTGAGGTAAAATGATACTACCTTTGGGAAAGCAAAGAATGAAAAGCTCCCTTAAGTTCCCAATTAAATACTCAAAACTAAACACATCAAAGCATATGGAAACCTCACTAGATTCTGAAATGTTCAAGGAGCAAACTAACTTCAGGGATAGATTTTTATATTTTATTTCCAAGATCCCACCATAACTATTCTGTTATGGCATTTTGATGAGAACAGTGCCATCCGCTGCTACCCTTGAAGGCAAATGCATCCCAAATGTATTCTTTAAAATAACAATTACTTTTTCATTATTAATACATTTGCAATTATTAAACTTAATTTCTAGTTTTAACACATATAATAATAAAAAGATATTTTGCCCCTTTCTCATAACCTAGGGGTTTTGCTGTTAGTGTTTTTTTCATCAAGACAACAGATAAATTTTTAAACTGCCAGCTGGCTCAATAACAACTGAAAGCTATTTATGTTTAAAGTTTATGAGAATCTGGCCATTTACTGAATGCAATACTTCCTTGCATGTATAATTTTAAAATGTGTAAGGGTAGTTTTAAGTCAAGTACTATCTAAGAGGCTATCAATATAAGACAGAACACACTTGTTCTCTACTGAAATCAAAAGCTGGACAAGAATCAAGGAGATTGAGGATGAGTGAAATTGCCTAATGGTAAAATACATTAAATAATGCAAGTATATTTCTGGAAAAATAGCACAGTCCCTTCACTGTATCTTTTTAAATAGAGATTAGTTGAATATTTGTTGAGGAAGGGGAGGGGGAAATAACTAAGTGATTAATCAATTCTTGTGCTAAAGAGAGGGTTGGACCAATGACTGATAGGATTTCTTCTTACATTTTATGATTTAATTATATACCTTATTGGTGATGGTAGTATTATACATCTGAGATTTTAAAATAAAATACTGTCTTGAAGGCAGATCTTTAGCAACAATTTTTAGCTTAAGTCAAATCATAAAATAGTGTGCTAGAATTCTGTAGTTTTCCTATAGCTATACTATTCTATTAGGACATGCAAGTATATTTACACACTTCTGTGCAAACAATATAATCCGTACATTATTCAATCACAAAGAGAAAAAATTACTTCCTACCACTAGTGAATAATTCAGCCTCAGTGTTAGTTTTTAATTTACCAATTAATGTAGCAACCTCAGCATTCAGAATCTATGTTTATTCTCTGTCTGTAAGTTGTTAACAACCACAGTTACTAATGGTGATCTGCAGGTGTATCTAAGAGCACGCTGCAAATGAAGGCAGCATGCTGGGCTGTGAAACTGATTGCACTGGAAGTCTTTGCTAACAGAGATGTCAACGAAGCAAAAGGAATTTTCATACCTGAGTTAACTAGCTGTTGCTCCATGATCCCACAACCCAAGACCTCCATCCATTCTCCTTGAAAGTAGATCTCCATCTCAAAGGAAGGATGAGTAAATGGAAAATAGCAGTCCACCCATCTAATCTTGAGTCCTGGAGTGGTTAAAATAAAAGATATAAGCCAAAAAGAAAAGATGGGGTTAAATGATATATTGCTCTGCAGTATACCCTAAGAAAAGTTTACCTTTGTTTTAATGGCATCAATACCTGCAAGCCATAAAAAGTAAATAGCCACATAATTGACAATACTTTGTAAGGTAATATATCTTGGATCTTGTGGAAGAGGTGGGGTAGGAGAAAGAGCTATGCCTTCTCTAATTGGAAAAAAGCCTTTATCCAATTCAAGCACCCTTTAAAGACAAATCAGTTACTTGTTAAATTCCAGCAACCACATGGCTTGAGCTAAGAACATGGGCAAAAAAGGTAATTTTGTTGTGATCAGTAAACTGGAAATAACTAACATCTCCCCAGAAATATAGATATGTTTACATTATAGTGGTTCATTGTTTTTATTAAATATATCTGTATGACTGCCCAGTTCATACAGAGGTGGCTCTGGGCAGCTTACAATATTAAAACCCACAACATTAAAAATCATAACACTTGAACATCTCTGTCTCCATTCAGAGTCCTCAGGTCCATTGACAAAGCCACATCTTTCGAGCCTTTTGGAAAAGCCACAAGGTGAGGGTTAATTATGCCTCCTGGGGAAGGATGTCCAATAGAAAGGGCCACTCCTGGGAATGCTCTTTTTTATAGTCCCACCAGATGTACATCCCTAATGGATGGGACCAACAACCTTCTCTGCCTTCCTATCCTAACTCCCTCCAAGAGCTAAAGTGCCTCTTACTCAGAGCCATCTTGTCAGGGTTCAGTTTTAGCCTGTTGCATCCCATCCAACAGCCTTCAGGCACAACGAGAGGTCACAGAATCACTTAACTCATCACAGACAGAGATGTACATCCCATGATGGGGTGATCTCCCCCAATGATTTTATGTAGATGTTAAACTTCTTATAGGCAGATTTGGTGTCTTTGGTAATCAGCAAGCCTTCATAGTATACTAGCTTCAATGGCTCTTCTGTACTGTCCTTCAGATATTCTTCCAATGTCCTTTTTTCTTCTTCAACTTTCAGTGTACTTGCAACCTATGCTCCTTGGTAAATAGAGTCTGTCAACATTACTGTGTGGATGAAGGGCATAATTCATTGTTATTATTTTTCTGGTCTTCCTATCCAGAATTTCTACTTCAGTTTGAGCCCAGTCCACTATTTAAGCTATACATGTAATGGCTGGAATTGCTCGGATGTTAATCACCTGATGGTATTATCACCTCTGAGATTGGACTTTAGGAACTTTTCTCTTCTGATGTATTCACTATTAACCTTCTTTTTGACTTCAATGTGGCAGATATCCAGGTATTATAGTGATCTTTTTCACTACAGATTCTTGATGTTATTTCCATAGGGCATCTTGATTCCTTCAGTTTTCACTATTTTTCCTATTAATGGTGAGGGTGGCACATTTGTCCAGTGAAAACTCCACTGCAATATCTTGGCTGCATATACAGACAGCATTGAGTAGCAATTCCATTTCAAATAATGTTTTTCCACACAGCTTCAAATCATCCATGTAAAGGAGGTGGGATAGCCTGGCAGATGTTTTTTGACGTTTGATAGCCATGGCCTCAGTTATTCAGTACTGTATTGCTGACAGAGGCATCAATACAATGACAAGCAGTAGTGGAGATAGTGTTGTTAATGGTGATTTTTTTTTACCCACTCTATTTTTTAAATTATTGCCTAAAATATCTCTTTTACCAAATAAATTTATTTGTAGCCCATTTTAAATTCCAAGCTCTACTTTCCTAATTTGTGCCTCTGTGTGAATATTACATAGAATGGTATGACAAGTAAAAATTATCTATAAACACTGATATATGTTTCCACTTTATCTGTAACATGCTCTGTCAACCAAATGGCACAAGGAAATTTCTATATACAGTTAGATAAATAGAAAGTATGAAAAACAGAACAACTTATTCTTTCCCTTATGAGGTAAATGAAGCTGAGTGTCTCTCTCTTTCAAGTCCTGCTCTTTTTTCAGATGAAGAGTTTCTTTTTAACCGTATAGTTCAGACATGTCAAACACAAGGCCCGGGGGCCAGTTGCGGCCCGTGACATGGTTTCATGTAGCCCGCGAAGCCATCCTGGAAACAGTGAGGGAACACCCCCCGCTGGCTTGGCCTCGGCCCCGGCCTCCCGGAGCCAATGTACAATTTTGTGGTGGCCATCTATGCTGAAATGCATTCAGTCTTAGCTCCACAAGGCTGTCTGGAAACAGCAAGGGACCGGCCCCTGCCGTGTTGGCCCCGCCCTCTGGGTGCGCGCTGAGGAGGTGTCACCCTTTGTGAGGAATGAAGAAATGCATCATCACCTGGAAGTGGCCAGCAAATGGCTATCGCGTACTTCACATATCAGGCTTGATGGGCTCCGGGGAAGGGGTTTCGGCAGGCTCTTCCAGTGGACCATGCCTTGGCGCTTGCCCCGGTCCCACCTCTTCTGCCAGAGACCCTCAGATCTGTCCCACTCCTGCCCAGGCCCCCACAAGCACCCTTGAAGCGAACGATGTAGAGCTGGCCATGCCCATCCAGCAGGCCACACCCACTCCATCCATACGCACCCAGTAGGCCGCATCCACCCTGGCCACACCAACCCAGCCCCTTGAGAGCAACCGCAATGCTGATGCAGCCCTCAATGAAATTAAGTTTGACACCCCTGGTGTAGTTTGTTTCATTTCAAAATGGCACACATAACCTTCTTCTATTCTGACTTTATCTTACGCAAAATTATTGTGACTGGTGTACAACATGTTTCATGCCCTAATGAAGTATTAAAACCTGAGTATGTATGCTATGCTATGCTATGGCATACATCCAGTTTATAATGGCCCTGAAAAGCCATTAGAAACATCATCTGAAAAGGTCAAGTATTTTAAACCATATTGAACTAATGGTAAATACTGTAACCAACATTGCATTCACTGTATGCAATTGAAAACAAAGAAACTATATCTACATCCTTAGAATCTTGGTTTTTTTATATTTGGCTGAAAATATGGTTTTAAAGTATAAATTTGAACATAAACTGACAATTAATCTAAAAATGGGGTAATCCCAAGACACAGAACCAAAGGAAATATTTATCATCAAGTGCCCTATGTTCAATCTGACATTTATTTTCAGTTTATGTAACATGAATAAAAAATAATTGAGACTGGAGCTGACTATGAAAAGAAGAAACAACAAGTATGCATACTGTATACCACAAACAAAAAATTCTCAACAAGAAAAATAGTTGCTAACACCTTCTTGTGTAGGAGTTTAAATTAAAATGTTCTTTGCTAAATCTATGATAAAAATATACCCCAACAATTTCAAATCTTGCCAACATCTTGCATGAATTCTAATGTTTGTGGAAATTATTTATTTATATGTTATATTTTTAAATATACTTTAAGAATAGTTTTGCTGGCTTAAATTCATCATGCTTGGCTTTCTAGTACATTTTCTTTATTCAAGTGCCCCCTTCTGATGTGAAGAACTGCAGCTCCCATAATTCCAAATTTCTGAGACTCAGAGATATATTGCTCTTAACAAGGGCACACTAACTAGTTATATGGTATTGCAACTTTAGTACATGTTATTAATGTTTTTTTTTAATTTACACTTCAGAATTGAATATGTATGCCCTCAACTATAAGTTAATCTGGAATATAAAACAATACATCAAAAATATAACAATATGTGCATTTACGCTTACCGGATTCAAATGGGTATGGTCATAAATCTTCATGTATTAAAACCAGTATAATATCATTGAACTGTAGAAAGCAGTACTTTGTTATGAGAAAGGACTGCTGCTCATAGCTCTTCTTAAATACTTTGCTGAATATAATGATATCATTACAGGTAATCCTTATTTCATGACCACAATTAGGATGGCAACTTGGTCATTAAGCAAGCAGTCATTAAGTGAAACTGCAACTGTGTTTATGATCTTATTTTACTTTTCCTTTGCTTTTCAGACCTGCAAAGGCTGTGAACAGTTGCTAACAGTCACTAAATGAGACAGTTGCTAAACAAGGATTGTCAGCATAATGTGGTACATATCTGGATGTACCTATTGCTACTACGTGTTAATTGACATTCTGCTTCCATGAACATATAATCTGGAGACATCACTAATGTGTAAATTTGAGATTAGTGTTCCTAATGATTCTGCAGCAATTGTTACAAGTTATCGCTTACAGCAGGGGTGTCAAACTCAATTTCACTGAGGGCTGCATCAGCATTGCGGTTGCCCTTGGGGGGCCAGGTAGGTGTGGCCAGAGTGGGTGCAGCCTACTGGGTGGACATGGATGGAGTGGGTGTGGCCTACTGGGTGGGCATGGCCAATTCTACATCATTCGCATCAAGGGTGCCTGTGGGGACCTGGGCAGGAGTGGGACAGATCTGAGGGTCTCTGACAGAAGTGGGTGGGACTGGGGCAAATGCCAAGGCATGGTCCACTGGGGCAGGTGCCAAGATGGCCACCACAAAATTGTTTATTGGCTCCCGGCTGGCCTGGGCCAGGGCCAAGGCAGCAGGGGCCGTTCCCTGTTTCCAGGATGGCTTCACGGGCCACATGAAACCACTTCACGGGCCACATCCAGCTCCTGGGCCTTGTGTTTGACATGTCTGGCTTACAGTAATTAGCTGATATCTATTGTTACTAGCTGATTGAGTGCATGATTCTGATAAATACACTGCAACCTTAGCAGAGGCCATTTGATTGATTTGTGAGGTACGTACCATCGCCAAAGAGATGAGCCACAAGTTTTGTGAGTGTCATTTTCAAATTGTATTCCATAAGCTTTGCTGCTTCCATGGTATGCATCTCTTGCTTATCTGATGTACGGTGTCCTTGTTCAAACAAGCAACAATTTTCTCCATCACTGACATTGCTGAACAACTGTTTATTAAATAAAAGACAATTAGGAGCACTGTTTGTTCAAAGCATTTCACATACATGCTTGTGATAATCCTTGCAAATAGAATCTATGAAGGAGATTCCCTTTTTCTTTTGTTTTTTTTTTGGCTTTAGATCTATCAAATATGTTATTTGAACTTCAGTAACACTATAGAAAGTTTTCTTTTTTTAGAAATCAAGTCAATGTTTTCCCAATCTGCAGAAACTGAGCATCAATGCTTGCCTCGGGTCACTTAAGCAAGAATATTTCTAAGTTGAGATTTTAATTAGAGTTTTCCAGCTCACAGTTTACATATTTAGCAACAGGCCTTCAACAAAATATCGTATCTGTAACGGTATATGGGAATGACCTTGGGAGACAGGGAGAAGAGATGCAGCCTAGGGAACTGTCAAGTAAAAAGCAACTTAGCCTGCGTTAGGAATGTGGGTGGGCAAACAACTGAGAAAGAACCCTTCCTAGTTCCCTGGGCTGAAAAAAGAGGCAGGGGAGAGATGTACTTTCAAACTTGTAAGATTCTGTTAATGTTACCTTGCAATAAAGTATAATTAGCTCCTCTTGTAAGGTTGACAATAGCTTTCCCCAATCAAGTGTCCTCCCCACTGATACGCCCACATCACCAAATGGATTCTAGGAATTGGGGTACAGGTAGTCCTCAACCTATGACTAAATTGAGCCCAAAATTTCTCCTGCTAAGAGAGACAGTTGGTAAGTAAGCTTTGCCCCAAATTCTTGCCGCAGTTGTTAAATTAGTAATAGCGCTGTTAAGTGAATCTGACTTCTATTGACTTTGGCCATTCACACATTCCATTATGGAAGGTGACCAAAGAAAGAACAGCCATTCCAAGGTTTGATGTCTTGAGTGAGCTCATATAGACATCCAATGCACCACAGGTGCACTAGGGGAATGCTCCAGAGCAGTGGTTCTCAACCTGTCGGTCGGGACCCCATTTGGGGTCAAACGACCATTTCACAGGGGTCGTCAAACAACGCAGTCCACCATTTTTTTTCCCTTTTCCTTAACTGTGCTACTCCCTTTTATTCTATTGGCTTTTGAAAGCCAATAGAATAGACTCTCTTGAATAGAGTCTAATTCTATTGGCTTTCAAAAGCCAATAGGAATTGTCCAGGCTGTCTCTGCCCTGCTGAGCCCGCCAAAAGTCCCATTCTGCAAACGGTGCTGCACCAGTTGAGTAGTCCTCGATTTACGACCGGTTGGGGGTCGCGGCATTAAAAAGGTTGAGAACCACTGCTCCAGAGGATAGTTGCCAAAGGTACAGGTAGTCCTGTATGACCACAACTGAGCCCAAAATTTCTGTGGTTAAGTGAGACATTTGTTAAGTGAGTTTTCCCCCATTTTACAACCTTTTCTGCCCCAGTTGTTAACAGAATCACTGCAGTTGATAAGTTAGTAACCTGGTTGTTAAGGGAATCTGGCTTCCTCATTGACTTTGCTTGTTAGAAGGCTGCAAAAGGGGATCACATGACCTTGGTACACAGCAGTGTTCATAAGTATGAACCGGTTGCCAAGAAACTGAATTTTGATCACACAATTATGGGAATGCTCCAAAGGTCGTAACTGTGAAAAATGGTCATAAGTCACTTTTTTCAGTGCTGTTGTAACTTTGAACAGTCACCAAATGAACTATTGTAAGTCAAGGACTATCTGTATTGCAAAGATAGTAACCAAAAGCAATTTTAATGTTTATAAATAATTTGACATAATCACCACTTTGGCACAATGGTGATATTTTTTTCTTTTCATAAGATTATGTATATTTGTTTGAGACAATAAAAAATAGCAGTGACATCTACAGTATATACATATTATTGTTTAGAGTTTTGTAGTGATGTACAATTATTTCTCAAGAATAAAACAACAATTTTAGCTTTATGAGGTCAATTAATTATTTAATCAATGAAATAATGAATTCTCCTTAAGGGCGCCAATCATTCACCTCTACTAACTCAACATACTTACATTTGCTGTTTTCTAATATTTGGCTGATGAATCTAGCACATGTAATATGTCAATTTTCCTTTAAATGAGGAAGAATCCATAATTAAATCAATCTACTTAGTCCGAAACTAATGCAGAACAGCCTCATAGCTGATGGATTAACAATGACAATCATGCACAACTTGTGCATGAAAAAGAATATTTCCTACCATTATAATCACTGTTTGACACAGTCAAAAAATAAAAACCCTGTAAGATCACACCTGGCCCTCCACTGTCACTGAATGAGCAAGTACTCAAGTTGCTTTGTTAATAATAGAATACCTTCTGCTGCTTACAGCCAGAACTTTTAGTTTAGGAAGAAAACAACACAAATTACTTTGGACATGAAGCTACATTACTTTTCAATACAATCACTGAATCTTTCAATCCAGAGCCCATCAAATACAGAAAGCTGAGATTGTTTATATTATATAAATTCAGTCAGCAAACTCCAGTAGCTAAAAGGCTTTCAGAAAGGGTGTGAGCCATCTTTCAAAAGGTGTAATCCATTTTTTTAATTATTAACTCACAATATGTTAATAATATTTACTTCCAGTGTTCAGTATACCTTAGTTCAGAGGTCCCCAACCTTTTGGGCACCAGGAACCGGTTCTATGGAGAGAGGTTTTTTCTGCGGACCGGAGGGTGCGTGGTTTTGTGTGTAGCCTGCATCCCACGGATGGGTCTTTGCTTGTTTGTGTGGACTGGTTGCTCGCATGTTGCGGCCCGGTACTGGTCCATGGACCAGGGATTGGGGACCCCTGCCTTAGTTGATTACCTGTCAAGGCAAACTGATAAAACTCAGTCCTGACAGATTTCTCATGCTGTAAACTCCTAATTTGGCTGAGATAGTTTTCCACTTCTATATGCCTTAAAATATATTAGAAATGTTTACTGCAGTCATTTAGCTGTGCCCAAGAGCAAGGGCCTGAAAGCTATCGGAATTACCCTCACTCCCAGGCAGCTAAGTGTCTTATATTCTTGGGGTCTTCCCTTTTTTACTTTCAGAAGAAAAGAGATGCTGACACTAAGTATTTAAATTCTGTATATACTGGTTTATCTCAAAAGGTATTCAACAATGAAAAGAGAACCTCCTTTATTCCATTACAACAGGGGTGTCAAACTGCCGGATGTGTCACACCATAACCACCCAAAAAGTTGCGATAGGTCATGACACATCACGTGACGTCGCGAGTTTGACACCTGTGCATTACAAGTATCATCAATATCTTGAGTGCCCAAGATACGGTATATCGTGTTGAAACTTTAGCAATACAAAGTAATCTTATGACATCAAAATGGTCTCCACCTGTATTACTCTATCAGCTTTTGCTATCTCTCAAACACAAATCTGAAGTGCCATGAGCTGAAATGCTACCCAACTAATATAAAATTGGAAAAGAAGAAAGAAAACCTCAATCAAAGATTATACATACAAAATAGAATTCCCCATTGGCCATTAAGCAGAATTAGTGCTCTATAGTGATCTCTTGGGCAACAGCACATGTGGCAAACATGTGACATCTATGGAAGGAGAACATGGTGCATTGTTATATTAAGATTGTCTTAACTACAGTTGCTACAAACCATCATCCCCTTCCATTTAAATCAAATCTGTAACTTGGTTCAAGGTATGGTTTCAGATGAAAGGAGAAGGGCTTGCTCAAAAGCTAAAGCCTGTTTGCAATTGCCAATTCATGAAGTAGTCATGCAATCTAATTCAGAAAATGCCAAGAAAAGTTTATTGGTGGAATTACATGCTCTTTCACATTTTCTCTCTCCCTCTCCCTCTGGAAAAGGTAGCAAATGCCATCTAATACAACAGCAGCATGTTTCTATTTCAATTACTAAGAAGGAAAAGGAAAATGCATCTGGCTGAGAAAAGTATCAAATTCTTATCTTATCTGGATTTTCCTTAAAAGAATTCCATTCCCCACCTTCCTTCTCTACCTTTACTGACTTATCTCTATTATTGAATTTCTGCCACTTTCTGCACTGAGATTTTTTTTATTTACCCGGTTATGTCGCACTAATGGAAATAATAGGTGATCAATACATTATCTGGTCTATTAATTTTAGATGTCTTATGTTATCAGTCAAAAGTTATCAGAATAATTATATCACATCCCTTTAGCAAAGCTTACCCAAAGTTTACAAAAGACTGGCATCACCTAAAACGAGTGTTTTTAATCTGCAATATGCCATCACTCTTTGTGTTTCCAGTAGCCCCCTCTGGTGGAGAGAGTAATACAGGTTATATTTAATAAGAGATGGAGGGGGGTAGGTATAACAGTCTTTCAAAGTTATATTTTTTTTAAAAAAAAAACGTGATACATTGGGACAAATGATTCCATTGTTTAAAAGTCAGCTATTTAAAAGTTGACTTCTATAACTGCTAGTCCAATTATTTTGGGAACATAATTCTTTCTGTTGTCAGGATTTAAAGCAAATTCCTGACAACATATCACAGCAGGTGGAAATGCTTAGCAAAACCTGGTGCATCTTGAAAAGAACTAAGTAGAGATGGAAATGTTAAGTACTTAGATGGGAGCTTACTGGAAATTCAGGGTAATTGAGTCTATTAGGAGGTTGAAAATGATTCTAGAACACAGTGGCAAACCATCTATTTACTTGCCAATAAAACTTCATGGACATCTCTATATTATCACCAGAAGTCAAGCTTGACTTGAGGGAGACTTTATTTTTGACTTATCTACAATACTCATTACTCTGTTGCAGCTTTGTCAGCAGGAAATGAAAACATTGAAGTTTATTATGTTTTGCAGCCTGGAACTTTCTCTACATTGGATGTAATTTCATACATGTTGATATATATTATCTAATCAAATCCCAGATTGTCACTGTGAGGTCCTTGATGTTCTTTGAGCTTGGTTGTTTTCTTGCAGACATTTCAATACCCAAATTAGGTAACATCATCAGTGCTATTAAAGTTGTTCTGGTGCAATGGTTAGAATGCAGTTATTGCAGGCTAACTCTGCCCACTGCCAGGAGTTCAATCCTGACCAGCTCAGGGTTGACTCACCCCTCCATCCTTCCAAAGTCGGTAAAATGAGGATCCAGATTGTTGGGAGAAATACGCTGACTCTGTAAACTGCCTAGAGAGGGCTGTAAAGCACTGTGAAGCGGTATATAAGTCTAAGTGCTATTGCTAGTCCTAGACTAGCACGATGACTCATCATTTCAATCCTGAGCTACAAATATTCTCCTTTACTGATTGTCACTGTATTTACTATTGATTGGGTTAGACACATTACATGAAGAACTGGATTTTCAGCTGTAGAAGTGTGTAATGCTGGGATAGATGAAAGTGAAGAGGATAGCTAACAGCAAAATTGTTTGATTATAGTAGCAAAGGGTGCGCTATTGGAAGACATGAGGGACCAGGGTTGGGGAGAGACCATTCTGGAGAATATCTACATGGTTGCTAAGAAATGATACCAGCTTGATATCATATTGCTATCATCATCATCATCACCATCCCATAGCTGTATTTTCTGAGCTAAAAATGTTATACTCCTTTTCACTTCCAAAAATAAAAGCTCCTCTTAAATGGGAAGAGAGGGAATCAATATAATTATTAAGTTTCCAAAATATGAGAATATTTCTAAAGAAATATGAAATTCCTGATTACATGCTTTGTATGTCTCCTAGCCATCGTGGTGCAGTGGTTAAAGTGCAGTATTGCAGGCTAACTTTGCCCCCTGCCAGGAGTTCGATCTTGATGAGCTCAAGGTTGACTCAGCCTTCCATCCTTCTGAGGTCGGTAAAATAACCCAGATTGTTGGGGGCAATAAACTGACTCTGTAAACCACTTAGAATGCTGTAAAGCACTGTGAAGCAGTATATAAGTCTAAGTGGTATTGCTATACTCTGTGTGTGTGTGCCACATTTCCCATCAAGAAACTGCACTGAAATTACACAAATCGCTGTGCCATTCGCCCTAATATTTTCAGGGAAAACTAATTTATTTGTTTAATTAAGAAATGTGCACATGTTTAGAGGCATTCAACTTGAGATGATAATACATTGAAGTAAAATTATTTATTACAAATAGACCAGAAAAAAAGAAATGAAGAGAAATGGGGGGGGGGGGAAGAAGCATACACAGGAATACATTCTGCTCCTTTCTTCTAATGTATTGTAGATGTATTTTTTAGCTCTTCCTCCTCTCTTTAGTGATCTAATTTTGCACAACAGAAAATAAGAGATTGTAGAAGTTCAAAGAACAACAGAAAATCAGAGTGCTCTATAATATGCCAGAAGCATTAGGGTGAAAAACAAATTGGCAGCCAATACTGGGTTTTTAATAGCCTCCCTGTGTATTGAAGGCTATGATTCTGTTTCAATGTGGAAATGTATCCTAGAGCCGATGCATTATATTATTGATATATCACATATTTACTCATGAAACAGAATCTACCATAGAAGACATTTAACAACGTAAGACTACCAAGTCAAAGTTGTCTAGTTATTTATTTCAAGAAAATGTTGAAAGGAAGCAAATGTGCTAGTTATGAGTTGAATATTCCAGTTCATCTTCCCAACTATTGAGAGATAGTAGTAGTCAGAAATAGGTGTTTAGTTTTTAGTTTAGTCTAGTTTAGTCTAGTTTAGTTTAGTTTAGTAGTACCTCTTTTTATCTATCCAGTTTATATTAACTTCTTCATGCATGTATAATTGCATTTACTTAAGTGGAATGCTCTAGCAAATGACTTAAGAGAAATTTCTCTGAGGCATAAGTATTCATTCAGTTCAGTTCCCATTGATCCCATTTATTAATTCACTCTAGACTCTAGAGCAAAAGTAAATAAGTAAATAAGTAAAAAATACCAGTTGTCCTTCAAATTAGAATGTCCTGTCTGTAATTCATTAAAGCAGCCATTCCATCACCAAAGATCACCTACTCCTGACTTCACACATACATTTGCCTAATATGGTAAACATATAAAATCCATTGCCAAATCGGAGTACTAGATGAGAGGGTAAAACTGATGGATTGTAAAAGTGGAGAAAGCTTTACTAGATAATATTTTAATTCAAGCTTATCTTAATGGTCAGACAAAAATCAGACTTACTTCATGGCTGGAGAAGAGTCGTACTCCTTCCATTTGATGAAAGATTGGATAATGGGTGTTATCAACCTGATCACGACGATAAACATCTCCCACAACCAAAAATGCATCAAGTCCAGCATGTATCAAATCCCATTGGTGGGCAGATGTATGAGCTCTTAGCATGTGAGTATGATTTAAGTAGTAGTTATCTCCTTTCTTTCTGCTTGGATGGTCTTGTGGAATAAGCAGTCTATCGAAGTTTTGTTCTACTGTGACCACAGGAGACAAATCATCATATACTGAAAACACTGGGTTCCGAGAACGTACCAAATACTGCTTGTAGAAATGGTCTTTCACACGTTCCTTAATCAACCACAAAGGATGATTTCTTTGGTTGTGCAAGTTTCTCCCCACCTTGGAAAGGATTTTTGGGGTAACATTACTGTAGTTATCTGAGAGATATGTATGGCCAAAAAGTTCCACTGCGTTTGCAGGAAGAGCTCTGGCAGCAAAATCTGAAGATATATTTTTATAGCAGGCATGGCTAAAACTGGCAGCTCTTTTTATCTGAAGTCCCCATGGCAAAACCACTTTGATGCAATGGATCACTTGTATTACATGTCTGGATGTAGCCATTAAAGTGTCTTTCTTGTGCTGCTAGTAGGAGAAAATCAAACAGAGTAATTATTATTTCCTGAAATATAAAAATGAAAATCTTCAGCAAAAAAACGTAATAGCAATAGCACTTAGATGTATATACCACTTCACAGTGCTTTACAGCCCTCTCTAAGTGGTTTACAGAGTCAGCATATTGCCCCCAACAATCTGGGTCCTCATTTTACTGACCTTGGCAGGATGAAAGTCAACCTTGTACTAGTCAGGATTTAATTCCTGGGTGTGGGCAAAGTTAGCCTGCAGTACTGCATTCTGACCACTGTACCATGGTTTCTCAAAAGAAATTTCAACCAACTTTCAAACAACTGTGTTTACAATTGAAATCTAAACTGATAAACCAGAAACTCCTGTTTCAAAATATGCCTTTCAATTCAGATCAATTCAACACCAAAAAGGCATCTTTGGATATTAACAGCAATAATAATAATAATAGTAGTAGTAGTAGTAATAGTAATAGTAGTAGTAGTAACAACAATGACAACACCAACAACAAAGTTGGAAGGGACCATGGAAATCATCTAGTCCAACCCCCTGCTCAAGCAGGAAACTCTATACCATTTTGGACAAATGGCTGTCCATTCTCTTCTTAAAAACTTCCAGTGTTGGAGGATTCACTACTTCTGGAGGCAGCTTGTTCCACTAGTTAATTGTTCTAACTGTCAGGAAGTTTCTCCTTAGTTCTAGATTATATAATCTAATATAATTATATAATATATAATATTTGTATATCGACATCTTAAATTCATATACTTAAAAAGATTTTTTTTTTCTTTCCTGTTGAAAATCTTAGCAAACAAACTTGAAATCCTAGGAAAAAGGCTACCAAAGCAAGTCTGCCTGTTTGTGATTTGCTCAACCTCTATGTGAGGAAAGAATTTCTACTGGTATAACAAATATTAAAAACAAAACAATAAATATATGATAAATGTACTAAAACTGGGCAGTTACCAAGCTGCTTAGCAACTTGGGAACTATATATTCTATTTAGCATGGAAAAGGTTTGTGGGTGTAATGCTGTAAATATTGTAGTTAATGCTATATTAGATTGTCTAGATTACTATTCTACTAGCTGGTGTTCTTAAATATATTGGGTTGCAAATTCCCATCATTCCAGAACAACACTAGTATTGTTATTTAAGAAATCCAGAGGATGCAACATCAAAAAGTTGATTAAAATGAAATATAACTATATGACAAATGATTTATGAGTCATGTACAGTCTTCTGAGAATTGCCAAATTTTTGAAAAATCTCAGTATCATAAATACTGTCATTCTTAAGACACCATAAATAACATTAACAATTACCACTGATTTATTTCTAGGAAAAACACTGGTTTATTTTCCCAAAAGAGAATCTTCAAAAAAAAAATCCTCTTTCTTTAGGAGCAGTGAGGCCTAGTGGTTAGAATGCAGTACTGCAGTCTGCCCACAGTCAAGAGTTCAATCCTTACCCGCTCAAGGTCAACTCAGCCTTCCATCCTTCCGAGGACCCAGATTGTTGGGGGCAGTATATAATGACTCTGTAAACAGCTTATTGAGGGCTGTAAAGCACTGTGAAGTGGTATATCAGTCTAAATGCTATTGCTATTTACTAAGTCTGATGCTATATTCTTAACAGTTCAGTGTATAAACTACACAAAAATTGGTATTATTGGGAAATATAGTGCATACTAAGAAAATCCCAATAGGATCATGCCAAAAGTCATACTGGACAGAAATCTGGAATTTGTAGTTAAAACACATTTGGGGACACCAAGCTAAGAACTCCAACATTCTCTTTCCATGATTGCCAATCAGGTGGCTGTGAGAAACTCCCAAACACACAAAAGAGCCGGTTCTCACTCCACTATTGTCTGGAGATATATCTAATCTGTGAGATAATATACAGCAATAACCACTAACAGTTTTTCCTCTGTGTATTTGTTGTACCTTACATTAAAGCCATCCTAGTTGGAAGACATGGGATTACTACATCCTATGGTATATTGTGTTAAGAACTAGATCTTGCAAGGAGAAAAAGACAGAAGAATCAAATAATAGCTTCCACTATAAATAAGGCTTGTATCTTACCCTTGACAATTGTTGGATTTCCTCTTAACAGTGTTTTTAGTTCTTGCAATAACTAAAATTTATCACAGAGCTATATCCTTGAACACTACCTAGGTAATTTCTATTTCTACTCTTGGTCAAAAAAAGAATAATATAACCTGGGGGAGAAAAAGCTTTCTTGTATTCGCTATATTTTGCTTCCTGTGGCAAAACAGCATTTATTTGGTTAGAAACACCATAAATCTTCTAAATTTATAATAGGGATGAATAAGAATACTTTAAAATCTCATCTCCACCATGCCAAAAAGATAAACTTTGGGTTCTTAAATAGAAATCATATTCTCCCTTAGAATTTATTTTCTTGGATGTGAGGATAGCTTATGTTAAAAAATATACTTGTGTCTTCCATTCTACTTTTTTTAATTAACACCACAGACCCTCAGTGCTGTACGTTTTCTTTCCATTCCACCATTGCTTTACTTATTTTGAAACAAGGCCAAGGAGGGCAAACTTGCTTGATGGAAATGCATTGTAACTGAAAAGCTGAGATAAGAAGAAGCAAAGCAAGAAAACACACTTCCTGCTTCCATATAAATTATAAATTATGTAAAGGGACCAAAGTATGGAATTGATGATGTTCTGAGTGACAGATAATACTGATCAATCCTGACAAGATAGATGGATCATCTGTCCAAGAAGATTGTGTTCAACCTATTCTAGAATATCTCAAGTCCTCCTAATGGATCATGTCCATATTATCAAGTGGCCCTAGATCTAACTTTGTGCTGTCACTATGCTTTCCGAAGCATAGTTAGAGCAGTGAATTAAGCAGTTTACCTAAAGCTAATTACCTTGGCCAGACAGATCCCATTTGGTCAGCTTAATCACAAGTAGTTTGTCACTACTTACAGTCAATTTCCAAACCAATACATTAATTCTTGTTTTTAAAGCTCTATGCAATGTGGGACATGGTAAGTAAAAGGGATACCTATTGCCATGTTAATTGTCCTGCTCATTACAATAATTTGCTTTTCTCCGTATGCCATGTGAAAATATGAACGACAAAAATAGAGAGGCAACCTTTCCTTTGTGTAGCTTATATCTAATTTATATAATTTCTTTTGAGGGGGACAATCAGCTAACTGCTATTCTTTATCAATGCCAGAACCTTTCACTTTCCTAGGAGTTTAAAATGTCTTGTTTTTGCTTTTTACTGTTCCAAGTCTGAACTTGTTTAAACTGATGGGTATTTTTAATTATCACATCATATTCTATTTTAATTTACTGACTTTATAATAAACCAGCCTGACAACCATTTTAAGGTATCAAAACAATCACTGCCTTAAAAAGTCAAGCCAAATTTGTATTAAGAAAAAAAACCTGTTTCATTTTTAAAATGAATTTTAATACATTTAGAATTTGGATCAAAGACTCCTCAATTATTGAAAGGTGAGGCTAAAATATAGAGCTCCAGATGACTAGTAGCTATGTTGTAGCTATAGCTATCAACAGATAAAACTCCCTAAAGATCATCTAACTTTTTGCAGCTCAGATGTGAAAAAACTAAAAAACAAGACATCCCAATTTACAGATCAGAAATTATTTACTTATTGAAAGATTTCTTTCAATGAGAGGCCATTGGATGCGAGAGGGGCAGTAGGATGCAGACAGCAAAGAGGAATATTGCCAAAGGATTAAGTCATGCTAGCACATAATTTAACAGGTTTAAATCAACTAAGATCTATCTACCCGAATGACAGAGTAAGGACAGGTCAGAACCTGTTTTATATCGGCAATTTTAAAATCCTTCTTTCCTCTCTAAAGGGACTGAAATCAGCATACATAATTTCCACATTCATTTCAAAACAGAAAAAGTTCCAAAAAGTAAGATCCATCAATCTGACAAATGTTCTTACACTCACTAGCTTTGAATAGCTCCGTCTTTGAGAATGACGGGCATTCCACCATTGTCTAGTTAAAACTTATTCCAATCACAAAGATACATTGTTATTGGCTAGTATTTCATGACTTTAAGGAAAATCCCAGCTGCAAATGTAAACTTTGTGCAAGCGATGATTCAGATTTATAAAGTTATGTAAATGAGCTGTAATGCTCCAAGTCATTAAAATTTAATATTTGAAAATGAGAAAATGATAATGCTTTGATATAAGCAACATTTATGAGCCCAAATAACCACCTCTTTTTTTATGCATTCAAGAAAATTACGGATTTTTTAATTTAAGTACAATACTCATTACATTATGTGCTCATTTCAGTTGCAGTTCTGGTAAGCCTCTTTCCAGTTTATTTGGAAAAATCTGTAAATCACCCAAGATATGCCAAAATGATGTATTTACTTAATATCCCTAAGCACAAAATAGGATAACATGGCTGTGAAGAATTTGGGAGGGGAGAGGAGTTGTCCATACGCTCAGTACTAACAGCCCCATAAGAATTTTTACACTACCAAGATTAGTAAGCATATGGAAGTTTTGCAATTTCTTCAATCAGTCAAAGCTGCATGCTTAGTGTACTGCCAGACTAATATATTGCTGGCTTTGAAGATGAGTAATTTATTCAGGTCAAAGCCATTGACAGTACAAAGAATGTTATAAACATTTTAAAAAAAGGAAATCAGGTATCATTTTTTCTCTCTGCTTTAATCTTTCTATAAAGGAAAAAAAAGGTTGCTTTTTCATTTCTCATAATTATTGTTGTGTCTTTCCTTGGAAATTCCCATGAATTGTAGAATAGGAAAAATATTCTGAATTTTCTGAACACCTGAGTTTTTTCAGTTACCACAATTCAACAGCAGCAGATAGTTCTTTAATACTAAATAATATAAAAGAGTATCCCTTAGGCAATAGAATGTAGTCACTAGAATGCTCACCTAGTAATAGGAAAGATTTCGTTCTGCTTCTACTCTCTCTTGAACTATAGTCAAATTGCCTGCATACACTATGTTATTCTGGGGAGATTTGCAAAGTGTCTTGGCCAAGTTGCTGTTTCTCAGCATAAGGTCCTCACCTGTAAAATGAAAACAATGCTTTGGGTTATATTGATGCACTTTGTGCAGCACCACATTTGAAAAGTGTTTAGGAATTTTGCAGCGTGCTGCAGTCAAACTGCTAACTGTGATCAGTACATGAATATTGATTTCACAGTAAGCTCATCAAAACAGATTTACTGATTACTAGTTTTATTTGTGGATGCAGTGCTAGGTATTATATCTGGCTAGTAGAGTAATGCAAGAACTATTTTCCCTCATGACCTTGCCTAGCCTTAAGATTTTGAGCAAGATTCTTCTCCTGATCCTATTAACAATACCATCACATTTTATGAAATGTGAGAAAATGCCTTCTCAGTTAAGATCTTACCTCTATTGGTAGGCAAAGATGTTCTCAAGCAAATATACTTTTATGTGTTATATTAATTTGTATAATTGCAATTCTGACTCATTTTATATTTAACCACCTTAAACACTTTTGGAGGAGTATAAAAGAAAGACAGACCTCATCATACTCATATGAAACATGCATATCTTGCATAGCTAAGTAGTACTGTGCCATGAAATTATCTATAAAAAGAATAAGTATTCCTGAAGCCACACAGATGTTTTCAATTTCCATCAGCTCTAGCTAGCCAAGGGCAGAAAACTATGAAGATGAATTCAAAATAACAGAAGAATACTAGGTTGTCTTCTCATTTTATAAAATTATTACCATAATCATCAATCATCCAGAATTCTTTTTGGAGTTCAGTTAAATAAAAATTCAATTCTGTATACATGTGAACAGCCAGAAAATTTCTTGTTCAATTTTCACTTCAGGCACAACTTAGTGGTTAACTGTGGATAGTATCCTGTCTGGATTCTAAGCCACTCCTTCCTTCTATAATTCTAGAAATCATATAAATGACATAAAGCTAGGAAAGATTATTGAGAAAATATATACAAAGCACTAAGAACATGTAACAAAATAGAAAAAAAAAACAAATTTTGGAATCTAGATACTGCCAATTTTACAGGTTGTCCTGGCAACTCTGTCATGATTAAGCAAAGCAGTCATTAAGTGAGAAATCACATGACTATGACTATGCTTTCTGGCTGGAAAGGGACCAGACTACTGAGTTATACCTTCAGCTTTTTCTGCCCCCTAACCACTCCCCTGCCTTTTGGAATGCTTCAGGGCCTGCTTATATACTTTGAAAGCAATGCAATTGTGTCAGCAACCTGTTGTTGGGAGCTACTGATACACTATTCAAGCAACTTATTTTCTTGAAATCCTTTTCTCTCCACTCTTTTCTGAGTGGGGGAGAAAGCAAGAGATTCCTATAGACCAGTGGTGGCGAACCTATGGCACGCATGCCAGAGGTGGCACTCGGAGCCTCTCTGTGGGCACACATGCTGTTGCCCCAGCCTTGCCTCCCCCCACAAACCCCTCCTCACCAGCAGCCTCCATGGAGGAGAGTCACCCCTGAGCGTGGCCCACACGGAGCAGCGCAGCCAAGGACATAGCAGCCAGGCAGCGAGACAAGACTCTGCCCTCATGCCCCATCACGCAGAGTTGATGCTGCAGGGCGCTGGCAGAGGGTGTGGCCGCCATGGCGCTGCTGGGCTGCTTGGGTGATCTGTGGTGGGCCCTGGAGGCAGTGAGTGGCCCTGCAGGCAGGCGGGGGGGGCGGAACAGGGGCGGGGCAGGGCCAGTTTTTGGGCACTCGGTCTCTAAAAGGTTCACCATCACTGCTATAGACAATCTATCCTTTGCCTGACTGTTTCCCACTGCTGGCATGATTACATTGCTTTCAATGTTGTAGAAGAGCAAATATGGTAGCTTACTCCCTTGCAATCCCTTCTTCTCCAATCAGTTTGTGCTGAAGAGGAGAGGAAAAAACAGATCAGGCATAGGACAATGTATACTGACTGTAATTGTGATCACATAACTGAGGGATGCTGTGAAGGTCATAAATGGTTATAAATTAAAGTTATTTTTCAGCACCATGGTAACTTTAGTCACTGAACAAGCAAGGACTATCTGTACATTTCTTTATTAGAAGATGCAGAAAGTCAACCCCATCACACTTTACAACAGAAATGTCTGAGACTCTTCACTGAATTCACTGAATTCCTCATTGTCATATGGAGAAAAGTTGTGTTTATTCTAAAATAAATTATGTTAAAACTAGGCTACAGTTTGGAGGAGAGAATCAGAGTAAGGAAGAAAAAGCCATGACTACTGAGCCATTTAAAGACTCATGGGGTGTGTAAAGAAGAATTGTTTCTTTCTTCATAGAGAGAAGTTGATTAGCCCTTACAAGCTTTCAGTCTTCCCCAGGGATAGAGAAGAAGACAACAGCTAAATCAATTTATTATTGTAGTTTCGTTAGTTCAAACCAAAGAAAGGTTGAGGAAGGAAATGGGTAATTAGGCTAGAGAGACAGACTGGACACATTGTTAGTCAATGCAATGTCCTGGGTATATTTATTAGATGTATTCAATGACACCTGGAAATTCTGGGTTTGGCAGAATTATTATCAGTGTTAAGAAGCAGGGCTATAAACTATGATCAATGAATAAATGAGATCTCTTTCAACTTTTAATTGTAAATGAGAGCCTGGAATATGTTAAGCTTATGCATTCCACAAAGACAGTAGACACATTTTAATTCTGAGTGAATAAGAGGGATTTGTATATTCTATTTCTAATGGAAGATACCAAAGGAAAAGGGGATGCAATGGTGCGGAGGATTAATGAGGCTGGAAGTGCCAGCCATTAATGTTCTGTACTCTGGCTATTCGAATCCAGCTGCAAGAGATGAAGTGAACTCCCATCAGTTGATCCCTAGCTCCTGCCCACCCAGTACTCCGCTGTATTGTGTAATATTGTGAGTAAATAAATGAGTACCACTTCAGTGGGGAAAAAAACCTTAGGGGCACTGTGTGCGAAGAGTGGAAGCCGGTGCTAGACCTGATCGGACGCGAAGCATCACGATGCAAAGCGCGACCAGTGATGAACCCAAAAGAGCCAGCAATCCAAGCATCACTAGTTAATTGGTGTAAAGCTAGTTCTCCCTCTACAGTGCAGCAAGGATAGATGTACAAGATTTGAGCAAAATTAACTACCAATCTAAGCTGTCAGGACTGCATTGTGTCTAGCATGTGTAGATTTCCCTGACATTGTATGCCATAAGCTAAATAGGACCAGTTCTCTACGTATTTTCCAGTCTGTCTGGGATTGGCTTTGATCTACTGTATCTAGCCATTGTGTTTTTAAGCATGCGTGTTTCCTTCTTTTATGGGTGTGAAACTGATGATACGCTCGACTCCTCAGGCTCAGCCTGCTCATCTCTACACTTAACTCTCTTCCACTGATATGTATGATTTATGCTTACAACAGACTTTGTAAACCACAATACAAGTAAAGCTTGACTTATGACCACAACAATAACCAGAATCTCAGTCATTGAGCAAAGTGATCATTAAGCGAGATGTTACATGACTGCTTCACTCAATGAATGCAATTCCAGCACTCCTGGTGGTGGTCATTAAGCGATCTCACAGGTTAAGTGAATGCAATCATGTGACTTCAAGGGGTGTGTGTGTGTGTGTGTGTGTGTGTGTGTGTGTAATGTTTTGCAACAGTTGGAAGTGTTTATAGGCTGCAAAGCATCCTATCTAAAGCCATTATATATAGCCCTATAGCCCTACAGATCAAATCATATATAGTCACTATGGGCCTTGCTGCTTAACCATTTTAACTGTAACAGGAAACTCTCCTCAGAACAAAAGGACCATAGAATATATATCATAGATTATACCTAGCAAACTTACAAACACTGCCATCTACTGGCTGAATACTTCTGTACTGTAATTGTTGCAATACAAAATACATTCCAACATGTATTCCAACACCTCCACTCAACAACTACTCCTTATATTAATCCCGTTACAGATCTGAGTTCTGTAAATCTGTTTCTTGTGCTTCTTCTTGTCCTTCTACTTCCTCTTCTTCTTGCTGTCTGCAGAGCTGGCACCGCTGCTGCGGGTCCAGCCTTGGCTCTCCGAAAAACTGGCACCGGAGCTTCTGGGGCTCTTGACTCCAGCTGGGGGACCAGGGTAGCGGCTGCAGCCTCTTTTGGCTTCTCCTTCCCATTTCTGGGTTTTAATGCTATGTGAGCAACTTAAGACAGATGTTTGGCTGGGATGCTTTTATTGCTTTTAGTGGATCTCCTGATTGAAACCTCTTGTGGCCTGGTTTCTTCTTTTATTCCACTTGGATAGTCTTTCTTGTCATTTTTCCTTTTATATAGCTGGTGCATTTCATTAATAGATCACATGGACTAATTTTTATTCCATTTGCATAGTCATTCTCAGTTAATTTGTTTATGATGTCAGAACTGTGCCATGTGTGGATGCAGTTTGAATGTTTTTCCTCCTTGGCAGTATTAGCCATCTCATTGCAGTTCAGCTAATACAGTTCATCTGTAATTTTAGCCCTTGCAAGTAAGATATTCCTTTTTGTGACGACACAACTGTCTCTTTTGAAGGTCACTACATTGCCTTGTTTTTGTGAGCTTCTTCACTGACAAAAGATTAGTACATTTTTCACAAGTATCTTTCTGGTGATATTCTGAGAAATAGGACAGTAAGGACAAACCATTTCCTATTTCTTCCGATTCAATTATTTGCCCACTAGATGTGGTGATTTTTTTTCTGTTTTACTCTGGTCAAGGTGAATAAAGAAATTTCTGTCATTTGTCATGTGACTTGTAGCTCCTGAATCAAAATACCATGCTTGCAAAGATGATGTGCAATTTTTGGATTGAAAAATATGTTCATTATCTGAAGCAAAACCAGTTTCTTCCTTTATACTTTTGCCTTTTTGTACTTTTTGCATTCTAGCTTTCTAGATTCTGCAATCTGCTTTTAAATGACTCTTTTTCTTGCATACAAAACATTCACGTGTTTCTTGCTTCATGTAACTGTTTTTATTCCTATTTTTAAAGCAGGCTCTGCAACAGAAGCACTGT